GTGCATAACGAAGAAGTGGGCAGTAGCCCATGAAAGCTTATGCTCTAATAAATTTGTTAGTCTCTAAGGTGCCACAAGTACTCTGTTCTTCATGTTAAGGAAACTATCCATGGGAGGCACATGTGTTGTGCTGAGTAGAGCTCATCTGGGGTCCGTGTGTGTTGGAGATGGCAGGTCACGAATGATCTACGGGAGGAAGGAGAACAAGAGAATCCACTACTACCCCAAAAGGTATCTGTGTTATCCAGTTGGCTGGAGTAGGCTCTGCAGTTCTGCTCAGCATGAAGATTTCTCATCTGCTGCTCCTCCATTCCTCTAACCCTGGAGGGATTCTGATGGGTTCTGAGGGTCGGTTCCTTTGGATTTGCTGGTATCCGTGAGGGGCTCAATTAGCAAAGTACAAACAGGCAAAGCTATCTATATGCCATTTAAAGGGAAATGGTCATCTTTCAAAAATTTAGTTGAAAATAGTTTCAGGTGCAAAGGCAGCACTTGAATCTCCCTACCAATATTTGTGGCTCATTTTTCTGTTGTTGTTTTTTTTTTTTTAAATGGACCCACATACTCGAAAAGGGAAACTGAAGGCCCAGTCCTGCATAGGTGCCGACTCTGTGGGTGCTCCAGGGCTCAAGCACACATGGAAAAAAATGGGGGGGCCTCAAGCTCCCACTAGCCACAGTAGTTCTGTGTCCCTGGGGCTGGTCATCGATCAGCTGTTCAGCAGGACCTTGGGGCTGTTCGGCTGGCATTGCTGTTTGGTAGTGACTGCCAAACCCCCCAAATCTTCTCATGCCACAGGCAGGGAGGGGGGCAGGTCATGTGTGCTCATTTCCAGGGAATGGTGGTGCTTTCCCCTGGCGCTCTGGATCCAACTCTGTTCTCCTACCCATAACAAGCCCTAGCATTTCCAATAAAGCTATGCTGCAGACAGTGATAGTGTGCTAGCTTCATCCTGACACATGTCAGAGACATATGAATGGTCCTTAGTGCACCTTTGTACCTATTCTGAGTTCTAGGACCAGGGCTTATCTAACTATATGCTGGGAAGCAGTGAAACTGATTCTGTAATAAGGTCCTGATTTAGCAAAGGACTTTGGGACCAAAACATCATCAAGTGCACAAAGTAAACAGATTATAAACTTTTTTCTATTGTTTCTAATTTCAGGTAAAGGAATTTCACAGGGTACTTTTAACAATAGTAGGTTAAAATGTTCAAACAGAATTGTGATTTTAACTTGATGGTGTGGCTTTATATATGAATGGTTACTTGCTGTAACTGTGGTTCTTCAAAATGTGATGCAGATGCGTATTCCACTTAGGTATGTGTGTGCTCAGTGCACCATTGTCAGAGACTTTTGCTAGCAGTACCCACAGAGGGGCAGCACTTGTGGCTGTGGCTCCTTCCCTGGCTACATGAGGTGGTGCCGCCCTGAGCCCCCTCAGTTCCTTTGCACCGAAAGCCTAGGAGAGGAGACTCCGATGGAGAGTGGGTCATGGAATACTCGTCTGCATCACATCTCAAAGAATCACAGTCAGGGTTGATAAAAATCTGTGACTAGTCTTCCTGACTAGTGATTTAAATCAAATTGAGTTAAATCAAATCCACCCTGATCACAGTTACAGTAAATAGCAGTTTCTTCTTTGAGTAGATGCAGATGTGTATTCCACTCAGGAGCGTAGCTGGGGGGGAGCAGGTCAAGCGACCGCTCCCCCACTGAGCATATTCACCAAAGGTGGTGCCTTGCCGCCGACTCTGTGTGCTCCGGGGCTGGAGAGAACGCCCCCGGGGAAAGCCCAGCCCAGCTTCCCTGTCCCTGCCCCGAGACCCTGTCCAGCTCACCTCCAGTCCGCCTCCTCCCCTGCCCTGGCTCCCAGGGCTTGCCCTGCGAAACTGATTCGCGGCAAGCCTGGGGGGCGGGGGAGGAGGAGCGGGAACGTGGTGTGCTGGGGAAGAGGCAGGGCAAGGGTGGGGAAGGGTTCAATAGGGGCAGGGAACAGAGTTGGGTGGGGCAGAGATTTGGGAAGGGGTCCAATAGGAGCAGGGAGGGGGCGGAGTTGGGGTGGGGCAGTAGTCCAATAGGGTCAGGAGGGGCAGAGATTTGGGAAGGGGACCAGTTGGGGCAGGGATTTGGGGAGGAGTCCAATAGGGGCAGGGAGGGGGGCTGAGTCGGGGCAGGGCAGGGTGGTTCTTCGGCAGCAGGCCCTTAACTCACTCTAGGCCTTTGGCGACACGTTGGTGGGGGGCTCTGCAGAGCCATCGAAGACCCAGTAGGGAGCCGCCCACTGAGTACGAGCCCCCTGCCCCCCCCTCAGAACCCGCAACCCATCAACCCCCACCCCATGTCCCCTGACCACTCCCTCCCGAGACCCCCCAGGACTGCACCCTCTACCCAACCCCCCCCCTTCCCCATCCCCATCCCCTGACCGCCTGCCCTAGAACCTCTGCCCTCTTCAACCGCTCCCTGTCCCTTATCCAACCCCTCCTCCCAGCCCCGGCCTGGCTCCCTTACCATGCTGCTCAGGGCAGCGTGTATGGCTGCCGCATGGCCCACTGGAGCTTGCAGCCCCACCCCCTTACCATGCTGTTCAAAGTGGCAGGAGCTGCAGAGCTGCCCAGGAGTGGTCCAGAGCACTGGCAGCGCGGCACGCGGAAGCTCTGTGGAGGGGGGAAGGCAGGGGAGCCTCCCCAGCCAGGAGCTCAGGCGGGCCAGTGTAATGACAGAAAAACCTCCCTCTCCCAATTGCCCCCTCCCCCTTTAACAACCGGTTCTAAACCAGTTTCTAAATTTAACAACCAGGTCAGGTGAACCGGCTCCAGCTCACCACTGGATACAGATGCCTCCAAATAATTTTTGAGTGGTATCATTCTCTTCTGGACAAGCTTCTGACACCCCCCGCCATGCACTTGAGTATCAAGTTTTCCTTGGCATTTGGAGTGGGGGCTGAAGGAGGGGGAACGATGACCCCTCGGGTTTGTTTCAGCAACACTAATGGGGGAGGAGGGGCAGGCAGAGTTGTAGGAGAGAGATCTTTATTGGGCACTCTGAGGCTGCAGAGTTTGTGCGAGGTGCCTGGCCCCCGCTTGCGTCCCTGAGCCCCTGCTGACACAGCGAACTAGGTCCTCCGGAAACATGGCCTTCTGTGGCCCAGGTCAGGGGAGATGCTGCTGTCTTGGGTCTGGACTACAACAGTTCAGAAGCGTTCTGCCATTGCAGGATGTGTGATATAGGAGCAGTCAGAGACCGTAACAAAGATCTGGACCCCCAGTATAGTCATGTGGAAAGAGAATGAGCCTGCAA